GACGAATGATTGCAGAGACGAAAAGGAGATCCTTTGAAGAAACGGAGAGAGTGAAACGGCTGACGGAGGAAGCGGAACTGAGAACTATTGCTTCCGTGGCAAGGGACCTGAGGACGTTCAAGGATGAGTACTGAGGTGAAGATGACATTAGTGATGAACGCTAAGACACCGGAGAGGGACAGAAGCTGGCTGAACGCTGGTTTAGAATCATATCTCACGGAGGAAGGGACACCGACGGATGAAGGCAAGAAGTTGCCGCTAAGAAGAACCAAAGGAAAGAGATCAGCCCCGAGGTCTGGCGAAGTTGGCGAGTTCGAAGAGGAAATGAGAGAGCAGACGAGAGAGGAGTACGAAGCCAATCAGAGAAGAAATATTTTTACTTCGCAACCCGTTAGCTGCACCACTCGTGGTGCAGTGGGGTTCGGCAGGAAGGGTGGTATCGTGCAAGAGATATTGGGAACTCGAGACCGATTAATGAAGAAAGATTTCCGAGAGATTAAGAAGATCAGTGAAGAGGAGCGAGACGTCACGTACGTTTCGAAAGAGCAAGCAGTTCTGGAGCTTGTCAACCGTATTGTGTTTTCGGGCATCGGTTGTGACGAACGCCCCGAAGGATATCATATTGAAGACGATCAGCCAGAGGGGGAGCGTTCATTATGATGGCGTCCACCCGTGGATAGGCGAACTTGGGATACCATCGCAAGCCTCCTCAGACTTAGAGATGTTATCTGGGGGCATACAAGAGTCTACAGATTTAGATTATTTGTTCAGCGAGCTCTTGCGGCGGGAACGGTACTGCTCATGCTCTGTGGGCAAATACCTTGGGCAAGGAAGTTGATAGACTTAGTCTCATACAGTAGGGATTGGTTTAACTTAAAGCAACCTGTTGTATATTGTCTAGTATCTCCTTGGAGTAAAAACTCTTACATTGGCAAGACAGTCAGGGGTGCTACCGAACGATGGTGGGAGCACGTTAGATGTGCTGAGAACAAGAATGGAGGGAAGGCGCCAATACTCTATAACTGGTTGGGTAGATATGGCTGGGGAAAGTATGTCGTCATTCCCATTGCTGCGACAAATGTCGGAGGCTGGGCGGAACTAGAGAGAAGGCTTATCAAGTGTTTCTCGCCTTCCCTCAACATTAGTGGGAAAAGTAAGATTACGAACAATAAAAAGAGAGTGGGCAAAAAGGAGCGTAAGTCTAGAGGGAAAGTGCAGAGTGCGGAGAGGATGTTAGATGCGCAGAGGAAGCCGCCGAGAATTATTTTCTTCCACCCACAACATGGTAATGGAAGGACTTCAAGTTTGAAAACTGTTCTAAAGGCGGCGCATAAGGAAGGTAGGAAACGCGTTCATCTGTATTGTAAAGGAGGTGATGTATGGGGAGAAGACTGGGTGTTGGTTAAAAGACTTTACGGAGCGTCAACGATAGTCTCAGTGGATGGGAAGATTGCTCTTGCTCATGCGAAACAGAAGTTCGAAACTGGCGAGTACCTTTGGGTGTTGCCAATAGTACTGACTCAAAATGCGAGATAGAAGGTGAAAGGGTACTTACAACAATTACTAGAGATGCTATACAAATGCAAGGAACTGTCGTCCATGTCGATAGAGAGGCTTATGCACTTGTACAATAGTGCTGGTACCTTTAGTGGGAAGAATACAAGGAAAACAGTGAAAGATTTCAAAGCTGATGCAGTAGCGAAGAAGGCCGGAGTGAACATCAAGAAGAAGATTACTATTAAGGTACGATTTAGGAAGGAAGTTTGTAACCCGGAGGTGAAGGACGTTCTACTTAGCAAGATTGGCAGTTGTGAGCTAGGCCTTGCCATTGCTGGATTACTTAGCAAAAAGTTGCGATTTGTCTGGCATAGGAATCGAAGCGTATCTGAGATTTTGTGCAACCATCGTACCCTTAGTAGAAGTACAACGCTTGGTTGTACCTGCTCCGAGTATGCACTCCCTCGTACCGACGGACATGTCCTGGCCACAATCGCAGAGGTGGAAGCAGTCCCTGAACTGGCTCTTAACGGGAAGAACGTAGTACGCCCGAAGCTTGAGACATCATTGGAGGAGCTTAGCACGAGCATGAAGCAAGGTTGGCAGTTGTCCTTGGTTGCAGAGTCAGAAAGCACCTCGAAGACTTACAGTGGAGAAGTGCTTCACTACTGGTTGCAGTGAAGAAGGAAGGGGCAATGAATCACTTGTGTTTGCCGTGAAGCGGAAGTTGCAAGGATTGGCTATCACCCTTGTAGACAGAAATGTTGGAGACATGGTCGTCATGTGCCCCTTACTTTACGGAAGGGGGTTGGACAAGATGTTTATGTGGAATGTCGCATACAATACGGTAAGCAGCAATGAAGCGAAGATACTGCAGAAGATGAAGGTAGATTACAAGAATCACGGACTGGACCAACTTGCCGCGTGGAACTGCAAAGGAGCTATAGGGAAAGTTTATGTCCTTCCCAAGCACAAGGATCTCACAAGTTTTTGACCAATTGCACCAGCCTGCAATGAACCTTTGAGAACAAGTAGCCGTTGGACAGCAATGGCCCTGAACTACTTGCTCGCCAAGGTTCCCGGAGTCACGCACTTCAATCTTACGGCCACGGCGCGCCTGAAGGAAAACCTTCTACTTGCAGAGAAAAAGTTGCAGTTGTACGGCGAGCACACAATGGTCACTGCAGACGGATTTGACATTAAAGAAATGTTCACATCATTACCGCATGCCGCTGTTATGGAGGTGGTTCACCGGTTACTGAAACTATGGGAGGAGAAGGGCTATCACCAGATTACTGTCAGCAGAAGAGGTAAACTGGTATCCATGGGAATAAAGATCTTTGGCAAAGGCTATGTGAAGATCAAGTTTCGATAGATACTGCAATTTGTGCCCTTTCAGCTGCGGAATACTTACACTTCGTGCAAAGGGAAGCTCCTCAGACAGAGGATTGGAGTGCCAATGGGGAAAAAATATAGCCCGCCATTGGCTTGCATACTTTGTGCGAAGTTCTAAGTCGAGTTCCTGGCTTTGTTGGGAAGAGACCAGCAGCTGGTGCATGGAGTTCGGTTCATGGATGATGTGTCCCTGGTTGTTGCTTTCAACCGCAGGAAGGAGGGATCGGTGCAGAAAGCTTTGCTTATCATGGAGAAGTTTAAAAACTGCTATGGTAGCAAGCTCTCACTGGTCTGCACCGATGACGGGTTAAATACTATCGATTTTATCAGGGCTAGGATCATTATCACGGAAGGTAGAATTCGGTTTCTTCTGGAACCGAAAGCCAAGAACAAGTGTACTCAGCGGCAGGAACAGCTCATGTTGCGCCGCTTTCAGGATTTCTGCTCCTACTCGGATAAGCGGGCCAAGATCGGAGCCATCATGGCCAGCCTTCACCGTAGTCAACAAATGGCGAACTGCGGGAGCATGATCATCCTCCCTGTGATAGCCATGAAACAAGAGCTTTTGCGTCGGGGTTATCCCCAAGTGCTCTTCTTTTGTCTGTCCTATCAATGGGCAACGGGATTTTTTCAACGTCGTTGTACTCATTAAATAGCCCCGGTGGCCTCGTTGAAACCCTGTTAAACAATTCAACGAGGCCTTCCTGTTGAATAACGTTCAACGGACTTCGCCCAACAGCCGTGGGGTCTGCGGCCATGTTGTCGTGGACTGAAAAAAAAGATGTTCGTCACTGACCCCCCCTGTTGTATCCCCATTCAACTCGTTGAAAGGTCGTTGAACGATTCAACTCTGTTGATTGTCCGTTGATTTCCTGTTGAACGGCATCGCCGTTCCATGGGAAATCGAACAACGGGGGGCGAGCTCGCGGTTGTGGGCACATCGCCGTACACGCCGGGGGCGCTGGAGGTTCCTCCACACACAAAAAAAAAAACACCCGCTCCGCGGCCTCCGCCGTCC